TATATCACTGGCGAGAACCCATCAGACTCGTGGAAATGCACAGATCTGACTTATTAAGCTGTGAACTGGGCACAAAATTGCATTACATCCACTCAAAGGAAGGATTCTGAGGTACTCCGACGGTCGCTGCAGTAGCTGGGTGATTCACAGTGTAAAGTGGGATACGCGTGGACTACTTCTTGTAGGCCTGCATATAAAACACTGCACTCAATTGATATGCTAATTGGAGGAGCGGTGAGTGGGAGGCCTGAGCAGATAGATGTGACTCTCACCCTGAGGAGAAGTGAGAGAGAAAAGCTGTTAGTCCCATACCTTCTTTTACAGATCCTCTGTAATGCTGCAATTAATAACATCTGACTGCTGCTGCCACACCGTCTCCGAGCCGATGCATCTTCCAAACACCAGGTGTCTGCCAAGAGTCGCCACACAATGGCAGCAGGCTGTCATTTAATTGATGTGTTATTGTAAACATGTCTGGACATTGACTTACAGAGACAGCTGCTGGACTCGGAGTTGCACCCTTAACATTTAGCAACTGGTGACAGTTTTAGGAGGCTGGGGTGCAAGTACCTGTGATGGTTTGTTATGTAACGGAAAGGAACACTGAATCAGTGCTGGGGGCAACTAACTGAAACTGCTAATCTAACTATGCTTTTCAGTACAGTGAGCATAGTGTGCTATATTTTATAAGCTACTTTTTCCAGCAAGTGTAATATAATTATTTTCAGGTTGACTGACCGGCGGTCTGACCAATCATAATGCCGAATCTGACATTTTGTCCAACCAACAAACCAGGCAGGAGAATAGATTAATGTCAGTGAACTTGAACTTTAAAAATGGTGTGCATTGACGTCTTTCTGTGGTTGAAACAAGATACCTTCTGATACCTTCATGTTTGCGAAGGGTCAATTTTCACCCAAAAATGAAATTCTGTCATTAATTACTCACCCTCATGTCGTTCTAAACCCGTAAGACCTCCGTTCGTCTTCGGAACACAAATTAAGATATTTTTTATTGATTCTGGGAGCTCTCTGACCCTCCCATAGACAGCTATGTAAATGACAGCTATGTGACCAGCTGACCTTCAAAGACCACATTGCAAATGTGAAATCAGACATCAGAAAGATCAGGCCCTTTCTAACGGAGCATGCTGCACAACTTCTTGTCCAGGCCCTTGTCATTTCTAGGTTGGACTACTGCAATGCTCTTCTGGCTGGGCTTCCATCAAGCACAATCAACCTCTACAAATGATTCAGAATGCAGCGGCACGGCTGGTCTTCAACAAGCCCAAAAGAGCCCATGTTACACCTCTCTTTATCTCCTTGCACTGGCTACCGGTTGAGGCTCGCATCAAGTTCAAAACATTGATGCTTGCATATAGATCAGCCACAGGCTCAGCACCTGCCTATTTCCACTCACTACTACGAATCTACATCCCCTCCAGAGATCCGCTAGTGAGCGACGCCTCGTGGTACCATCACAGAGAGGCTCAAAATCACTTTCCAGAACATTCTCGTTCACCCGGTCACTCTTTCGACGCTACTTGACTTCATCATAAATAAAACAATTAAAAAACTTTCTCTTTATTTATTCCTTCCCTTTCTAACTTGTACTTATTTGAACAATGCCTAAAACTTGGTTTTACAAGCACTTCCTGTGTCTGTTTGCCATTTTAAGAAGAATCGCTTTATGTATTCCCCAACTGTAAGTAGCTTTGGATAAAAGCGTCTGCAAAATGACTAAATGTAAATGTAAATTAACACGATCAAGGTCCAGAAACGTAGTAAGGACTAGAGCCCGACGGAAATATCGTTTTGCCGATTTTATCAGCCAATAAGAGCCTGTCGCAGATATATTGGTATTGGCGAATGTGCTGCTGATATGCCACCGATATTAATTTTTTTTACAGAACATAAAATGCTTGTAAATGGTGTAATTATGTAGTTTGTCCAGCAGAGCACGCTCCGTTGTTTGCTACTGGCGACCTGGATGGCTCAAAATCACTTTCCAGAACATTCTCGTTCACCCGGTCACTCTTTCGACGCTACTTGACTTCATCATAAATAAAACAATTAAAAAACTTTCTCTTTATTTATTCCTTCCCTTTCTAACTTGTACTTATTTGAACAATGCCTAAAACTTGGTTTTACAAGCACTTCCTGTGTCTGTTTGCCATTTTAAGAAGAATCGCTTTATGTATTCCCCAACTGTAAGTAGCTTTGGATAAAAGCGTCTGCAAAATGACTAAATGTAAATGTAAATTAACACGATCAAGGTCCAGAAACGTAGTAAGGACTAGAGCCCGACGGAAATATCGTTTTGCCGATTTTATCAGCCAATAAGAGCCTGTCGCAGATATATTGGTATTGGCGAATGTGCTGCTGATATGCCACCGATATTAATTTTTTTTACAGAACATAAAATGCTTGTAAATGGTGTAATTATGTAGTTTGTCCAGCAGAGCACGCTCCGTTGTTTGCTACTGGCGACCTGGATGAAACACTTTAAAGCTTAAGTGTATGGAATACCATTGAAACTTTGAATGGCCATATCTCCGTAACGGCGCTGCGGATCCACACCAAATTCAGGGGATCCCTTCAGCTCGAGGAATCCTCTCGAACACAGAATTGAGTGTACGTCTCGAGGCCCCCTTTCGAATGAAATTAGTAAATAAAATGAGTTAAATTCACATTCCGGCGCCGACCGATCTGCCAATCGGGGGCGGGGAAGGTGGCGTTCGAGAGGGCTCCTCGAGCTGAAGGGATCCCCCGAATTTGGTGGAGATCCGCCGTTGCGTTCGTGAGATAGTGACACCAGCCAACATTTTCACTTCAGTAAGGTGGTCTGTTGTTCAGGCAGCAGCATTCAAGCATTGTCTTAATCGACCGTAAGTGCCCTGCGAAGTGGACTTCACATGATATTCCGCCATGAATCCAGTTCCAAGGGAACGTACACGTTACATTCAAAGGGCATTAAAGTATGCGAGATGTGAATTTATGTTGTATTTATTTACAGAGGTATATTATGTCACACATCACACTTCTCTAGTAAGTTTCGTCTGTGTGTGAAAACAGTAGTGCAAATCCGTGAATGAATGTTCCGAAGTGAAATAAACTTCAACGGAATAAAGTTGAATGGAATTGAATTGAAATAAAGTTGAATAAACTTCAACTTTACTGTTCAGTGCACTGATGTCAGACTCATTTTGGATAATAAAGTTTAATGGTAATTTTAAGCATTATGTAAAGCATAATGGTTCAATTGTTAAATGCCCTGCCTCCATTACATATCTTTGTCACATCATTTTTATGTATACATATTCTGTTTATGTATATACTGTATTCTATACTGTATATAGTAACAGTCAAAAGTTTGGACACACGAATGGGAAAATGTCCAAACTTTTGACTGGTACTGTACTATAATATACACAAAGAATATCGGCCGATATATTGAGCTATATATCAGCCTTTTTTACGCCCTAATATCGGTATCGGCCCCCCACAAAAAACCATATCGGTCGGGCTCTAGCAAGGACATCATTAAAATAATCCATGTGACATCAGGGGTTCAACTGTAATTTTACGAAGCTACGAGATTACTTTTTGTGTGCAAAGAAAAAAAAAAGACTTTATTCAACAATTCATCATCTCTGTGTCACTCTGGCACCAGTTTGGAGAGTATCACATACGTAAACAATGTATGCTGTTCTGTGTCAGCTGCACCACGCGGGATGCACCTGACACAGAACAGCATAAGTTGTTTATGTTCAGTGAATACTCTCCAAAATGGAGCCAGGGTGACGTGGAGGAGACAAATTGTTGAATAAAGTTGTTGTTGTTATTTTCTTTGCGCACAAAAAGTATTCTCGTAGCTTCGGAAAGTAAGTACTTCGGAAGTAAAAACTGTTTGCACTACAAACCAGTGTGTTCATAATTAAGATAATAGATTAAAATAATATGGTAAGACACACCAATTTGCAATATCAAGCAGCAAAACAAGCTTTTTTTGTACAGCTAAAAATAGCTGGAAGAGAATGAGAACCGGAAGCAAAACCCATAAAATTTAGAAAAGGCCATGCCCATTTTTACAGGAAGAATAAGGTGGATAATAAAATTAGTTGTTTTTTTGCTTATGTTAATGCATTGACCAGTGTTAACTAATGGAACCTTATTGTAAAATGTTACCATATTTAGTTAAATGCAGATTAACCAAAATAATATCATGTTGTTTGGGAAACTACAGTTTCAAAGAAACTTCCCCAATAGCAACATTACTCACTTTAAAACACTGTTTAGGCCTTGTGGTGTGTCTAAACTAGATAAAGCATCACAAAAGCATCAATCATCAATAAAAATGAACAAAGTGAAATGCTGCACAAAAATGGCAAATTTATTTAAAATAAAGTTGTGAGGAGCAAGATTTTGGACCAATGAGATTTGACATTGGGTGGAGCTACCATGCAGCATAAAAACAGAAAATAAAATCCATTCAGCTGATGCATTGTTTTCATTATTGTCACTTTATTACATTTTGTCGTCTCAGAGCATATTGCAACATTGAAAAGGCAATTAAATATGTGGAAATGAAAAGAATCCCAGTTATGTTCCTCCTGACTTTCTTTGCTCTGCAGTCAGTTGGTTTCATTCTCTGTATCTTTTCCCATAAGTTCCACACTCTGCTTACCAGAGAAATGCCATTCAGATTCAGTCCCGAGGATAGAATGGATCAATAGGGCTTACATGCCCCTCTCACTTTCCAGCACAGAGGAGTCGTAACTGTGCAGCTTTCAAACACAATCCACACGTTCCATTCCCATGCCTCCTCTGAGGATTAAATGCTAACAGACCCTGCCAAACACACTCCAATCTATGGCAAAACATACATGGAATTCCTCTCACGTGTCTGTGTACACAAACACATGTTACTGTAGTTATGCATAAATGTCTGTTGATCAGAGCGGCTTTTGAATTTCCTATCACGTGTGTTTTCCTGATCAGAACAGGGGTGTGGAGGGTCGCTCGGTTGTGGTGCAGGAGTGCAGGCTGCTGGTTGGGGTCCATAACGGCTGGGGTTGGGTGGAGAAGCCTCATGTGTTGGTGCTGGAACGTGAGGCCGGAGGGAGTGGAGCTGCCAGGGCTCGTGGAGCCAGCGCAAGCGGCAGCTTCAGGCAGACCTCCACGGACAAACTCAGGTGGATACTCGGCCCATCTGGCCTACTAATTTACCATAATTCTGAGAAATGTTGCCATACTTCCATAGACCTCGCTTCCAGTTGCAACTACATTTATTGAAATTCTTTTACCAAATATCCTGGATCTTTAATTATCTATGTTTATTTTCTGCTGCATTGATCTAGATTGATCTATGTCTCCTTGGCTGTACTGGTTGTTCTGATAATCTAATTTATTTCACACCTGTATTGATTTTTTTTTTAAAGAATGTTCATTCTGATCATTCTGAGCAATGCGGGTGCTGTCAGGCTCCAAAACGGACATAAATCAACATAAAAGTGGTTTGCACATCATATTTTGTCACCTTCTAAGTTTTCTAAAGCCATACAATAGCTTTGTTTGAGGAACAGATTGGAGATTTGTAATTGAAATAATTTAATTATTTATACCATTCAATTTAAATATATTTAATTTAACAAAAACAATAAATGTAACAATAAATCAAGATATTTTTCTTTAATTGAATTTTTTTAATCTTTAACACACATCTAATTTGCACATGCACATTTTCAAAGTTAACTTGTCAAGACTGCATGTATTTGATCAAGTATTTTGAATTATTACATTAATAATAAAATAAACATTAGTAAATTGTGGTAAATATTAAGCAGCCATTGCTCCAGCCTTCAGTGCCACGTGATCTTTCAGAAATCATTCTAATATGCTGATTTGGTGCTCAAGAAACATTTCGTATTATTATTAATGTTGAAAACAGCTAAAAATTTTTCAGGATTCTTTGATGTTTGGAAAATTTAAATGAACAGCATTTATTTGAAATAGAAATGTTTTGTAATGTTATAAATGTCTTTACTGCCCCTGTAAAGAAAAGAAAAAAACATAACCCCACACTTTTGAGTGGTAGTGTATGCAGACATCTTGAATTTCAGTATAAGCCACACATAAAGCTGTTTTATTCATAACACTTGAAATATAGTGCACAAGTCATATGGATTACTGTTATGCGTATTCCTTTTTAGACCTTGTTCTTTTATTCTTACTTTGTAAAGAAACACAGCAGCTTTGAGGTTTTTCCAAAACATCTTACTTTGTATTCCATCCAAGAACAAAAGCATTTCTGTTGAGCTCAGACTTTTCATTTTTGGGTGAATTATTCCTTTAATATAAACACTGTCAAAGAGTTCCAGTGTCTCACATGGCCTCCTCCAGTTTAATGCTCCATCTGTCCTGTTTCAGTGACTTGAACTCTCAAAGCCACACTGGTTGTCCTCCCTAGTACTTACCCAGCAGAGATCCCCTCGTCCTCACCTCACCTCGTTGTTTTTCGTCCCAGTTCCATCTCTTTTTTTCAACACAGTCCTTATCAAATATGGATTTTTAGGGTGATTTACACACTTACTCACTGGATGTTAAATATTTTAAAAGCATCTTCTCCAGAAAGTATTAAAAAAAGTTCCGCTTTCTAAATTAAGGTTTCTCATGTCTGCACTCTTCGTTTAATTAAAATGCTGATAAGCTGTCGCTGTACAACGCAAATGAGAAATGAGGCTTTGATTGTTGATGTCTGCTTCACTCCATCTGCTGCGGAAAAAAAGAAGAGCCCTGCCCCCCACCGCCACAGAGTCACTGCCATGTGAGATCTCGCAGAACAAGTCACAAGCATCGTTCCTGTGCGGTGAGAGAAAGAGGTCTATAATTACCCAATGAGAGAAATTAGGTGTCTGAGAGAGTGGAGCATCACATTCTGCCCTTTTATAAGAGAGAGAAATTGGGTGTAATTATGGAGAGGTTAGCACTAAAAACTTATGCTGCACGTTCTCAACAACACTGCTGTGATGACGGCAGCGAATGTGTCTATGAGAGCGTGTTAAAACCCGTCAAGAATGATGCAAACGATCTGACGCCGACCTGTCAGTTTCTAGATGAGATGTTGGCATGAAACCAGTGCCTGGAATTTCAACACCTTGTAGTAACACTGTCTCAAACTAACTTTTTTTGAGCCTGTTTCAATTATAACTTCATTCTTTGTCTTCCTGTATGGAAAAAGCGATGTGAACTTCATTTTGAAGTTTTAATATTTTTTTGTACCGTGCTGTGCTCATCTAAGATGCTGTGTACTTTTCCTCTGTAGTCTGTACCTGCTTATGTAATAATCTGCAATCATTTTTAATGGCTTTTTTGAGATTCGGAATCAGACTAAAAGAACAATAATATGATGACTACAGAATGCGTCATAGCAAAAACAAAACAAAAAAGAAATATAAATGCAATTTGAGCGACTTGTTCCATGTTAGAACTATAATAGTTTCATTCTAATGTTGCACAAGTATTAAACTCAGAAGAGAGAAACTAACTTTTTTTAGCTTAAAACTTTTAGTTCCTGCTAAATCGCTGTTCTTTCTCCTTCAGCTCTGTATGAGTTTCCAAACCCCATTTGTCAAGCTATTGTGGCAGAGCTGTTTTCTTCCTAGAATTTTAATTTCTAGAATTTCTTTATAAATTGCATAAATTACCATTCAAAGTTTCAGTCTACAAATTTTTTAAATGTTTTTGAAACAAGTCTCTAATGCTCGTTAAAGCTGCATTTACAATATTTGATCAAAAATGCTGAAAAAAGCAGTAGTATTGTGAAATACTGTTTTCCATTTTAATAAATTTTATTGCTGTAATTCGAATTTTCAGGAGCCAGTCTTCGGTGTCACATGATTCTTCTGAAATAATTATAATCTGATAATATGGTGCTTAAGACATATTTCTTATTATTTGTATTATATGCTGAAAACACTTCTGCTGCTTAATATTTGTTGAAACCGTGATAATAAAAGTATTTATTTATTAAAAAAT